ACTAGCTGAGTTCATTAACTAGGCAAACACACATGTGGATGCCACTCCTCTTATCTTTGAAAGTGTCATAATGATGTACGAAAATTTGCAAAGATTTTCTATGGCAGCAGGTCTCTTTTCATGCTGGCTAATGAGGCACTATCTCCAGATAGCTGTGGCATAAGTAAGCCACATTTCATATCATATTACGTGAGTTGGGGGTCTGCTTTAAAGTGTTGCTTAAAGTCGTAAACTCACCCACTTGCTTGGAGCTCTTGCTCTGCGCCCTCCTTCAAATCGAAGCTATAAAAGTAATTAAGATAACGACTTTTGTGCCGTTCGCTTTATTTTGCTCTTGTTGTTGTTTGCCGTCTGTTGCCCGCCGATATCTGTATCGTGTGTATTTACTTTATAGCCAGAGAGTTTTACAATATTTTCTCATTTCTTGCTCATCCCGTGCGTCGATTTGTCGGGCTTCCTGTTGTTCGTGCAATTTTCTTGAAATTTCATTTCTTAACTTTTGCCGACGGCCTTTTGAGAATCGTCGTTCCGTGTGTTCGAGACGGTAAATCATATGAGAGTGCTTCGACGTGGGGCAATGGGGGCATGTGTGGCAGATGCTGCAGGTTGTTTTTTTTTAGTTGTTGTTGTTCCTATTGCTGTTCTTACTTCATTTATTGTTGTTCTCTTTGCCTTGAGGGGCCGGTTGGTTGTTATTGTTGCTGTGGCAAACTTTATGGCAGCTACGGTTTTCTAATTGCTAGCCAGACAGACAGACAGACAGTGAGACAGACAATGAGACGACTTTGAGGTTTGAGGAATGAGGGCATATCGATTCATTAACGACATTAAAAGCTAAAAGTTTTTAAAGCAACAAGCAGCTCAACTCCAACCCCCCACAGTGGTCGCATGTGATGCTTGGTTTTTGATTTATTCGTTTGTTTTTTGCTCAAACTTTGTATTGAGACAGGAAACGGATAATTAATATGCAAGGGTTTATTTCGGGAGAGAAATATGAGTTGTAGCAGATGATGAAAGGGGCTGAAATGAATTCAGTTTAGCTTTGCAACATATGAATAACAACACTTATTTAACAGGAAACGGATAATTAATGTGCAAGTGATTATTTTTTTGAGGGTGAAATACGAGAAGTAGTCGAAGAAATGGTCCTTGTGTTAGAGTGGATGAAAATATATGGATAACTACTTCTAATTACTGAGATACCGAAAACTATTCATTAATATGCAAGGAAACGCTTTGAGAAACATGAGGAAGTAATTAGAGGAAATTCATTCAGTTTAGATATGAAAGTCAATTCCTACTGAGGCTGGTATATTTTATGGATTTTGCGTATAATTGTTATTTGGATATATATGTATATCAACAGATATCAAATTAATTTCATCATCGTAAAGTGAACATGGTTGATAATTTAATTTTTCAATTTAACCACTTAATGGGGTCATATTTTGTAGCTGATGCCCAATGCACACAAAGCTTTTAAAAATAGTTTCGCTTGCGAATGGATGAGGCGAACAAATCCCCGTTGCATTTAACTGACTTTTATCAATTCCCCATTTGCTGGGATCCTTCCGCTACGGTGACCCACTTGGGAAAAGGCTTTGATTGTCAGGATATTTTGCATTTAATATGCGCACTGGCTAAATGCCAACTGATTCTCTGTATATTCCATAGATTGCCATGGGCTATAGTCAGGCCTTATTGTCTTTATATATATGTATTGTGTACGTAACGGTACACTTTTAAAAAAATTAAAATTGTTTCAAGCAATATTAAGAGAGATTAAAGTCATACATTTTACTAATCAACATAATTTGTGTGTGTGTTTTCATCTTCATGTTTTAAGTACTTCACTTTAGCTTAATTTGCAGCTGCGCTTTTCTCTGAGTGTAGCTGCCTCTCAATCCAACTTGTGCTGAAAACAATTGAGTGCACGTTGCGCTTGCTGCTTGTTGCATACTTTCAGGCAATGATGCTGCAGCTGCTGCTGCTGCTGCTGCAGATGCAATCGTGCTCAACCGCTGAGGTCAAAACATGTTGCCTTGCCTTTAAAATGGCCAAGTAATAAGCGGCCAAGTGTTAAGTCACTGAGTGAGTGGCTCACTCAGTCAGTTAGTCAGTCAGTCAGGCAGTGAGCTTGATGCTTCCCTTTGGGCCTTGGGGTTGTCCTTGTGCGTGTGCTGTTGATCAGCTTAATAAGTTGGCAGCTGCAGCCGCTGACACAATTTCTCGCCACTTTGCACTAGCCACTTTCGTCTTCGTCTTCTTCTTCTTCTTTGTGGCGAGTAGACTTACATCATGCTTGGAGCTTGGTGGGCAAAGAGCTCGTCCCTTCACGCCTCGTTGCACGCTCGAGTGCCACATAATTTCCGGCACACTGGAACGATATCTTCCGTTTGCTTTTTTGTCCGTTTTTTGTTTTCTTTTTGATATATATTCCTGATTGCATTACTGCCTGGTCGCAGCTATGGTCGCAACTCTGTCTCGCTCTCTAATTGAATTGATTGAATCTTCATGCAACGCCCAATTGAGTTGCACCAACAAATGCTATCAGCTTTAAGCGACCACTTTTTGCGGCTTATGTGTCTAATTATGCACAGCAGATAATTGAGAAGATGTGCACCGTCGTGCTAATTAAAAGGCACAACACTTATGCAATAGCCCGGCTGCACTCCAGGCACACACACACACACTGAATAGACACAAAGCCAACGGCGGCCGTCATGACAACCAGCAGTTATTTCCACATGTTTTCAAACCGAGCATCACTTTACTCCCACTTCATAATCTTTCTCTCTCTCTTTATACGTGGCAAATAAATCGCATATAAACAGCAGATAATCCCGGTAACAGCATTGCAAACCTCATTCATACCAATGCACCTGGTTGCAGCTACTCCTTCCCCTCCTCATCCGCAATCGCCTGCTACCTGGTTTCCCTGTGTGGCCGGCCAAGAGTCATGTTTATTGATTTTACTGTTTCGTTTGGGGCATGACTGCTGTGGGCGTAGCCACCTGGTGTGTATGTGTGTATGAGATATATGTTTTGGACGCTATTTTTGGAGTTCACTCAATTAGAAAATATAATTAGTCCAAAATGAAACCAAATTCGATTCGCATTTGTTTAATTTAAGCTAACAGCAGCTTGTCGAAGTGTCAAATCAAGTAGATTGCTTTCCCATGTCATGTTTTAGATTTAAAGTGCATGATTTGAAGACTTGTCGAATCGTTTGCCATTCATATTTACTCACATTCGAAAATCAATGTGGTCCAGTATTTGTCGATATATTAATGGATTATTGCTTAATGCAATTATGGTATGCAGTTATTTATACGAAACTAGTGAATTTATGACATTATCTTTTAATTACGAGTGCATGTTAAATATGAATGTTGAGACTAAGCTGCCTGCAACTGCAATTCCAATTAAATGTGCAACGTTTTCATAATTAGTGAGCTTTAAGCAAATGAAAATGAAACTGCATGCGTCCTTGCAACGTCACATTCACGGACCAATACAGAGTGAATCCTTCATCCCCAACCCATACTCGTTGGTCATTTTGAAAGGCTAAACAAGCAGGCCCCTTGCAACCGCACTCTGTATCTGTGTGTGAATGCTGCATGGACATAAAGTAAATACTGTATCTAAATGCAGTTCATTAGTGTGCTAGCTTGTTCTGAATACTCGTTTGACTAGTTTTGGTCGTTAACTGATTTTTTTTTTTTCAATTTCGCAAACATTTGAGTTAGAATTATACGACTCAACAGTTGACCAAAATGCCAAAGCAAATATTTAATTATGGCAAATTTCAATAACGAGACATTAAACTGAAAGCCATATAATGTTTGCGATGCAAGCAGCTTTCAATTTGGACAATCTTTCAAATTTTCGTTTGGCTTATTTGTCCTCTGTATATTTATTGCAATAATCATAACTTTTTATTGCTATTTGAAATTATTGCATTCAATTAGATGAATTTATTAATGGTGATTGCCCAAGAAATGTTGTTAGTGATTTCGATTATTTATTATTTTATTGCAAATGTTTTAGTTTTTTATATTTATTTATGGTCGTTATCTTAATGGCATTTTCACGTTAATGGGCAGATGATTAATATCATTATTTGCAGATTAAATTTATTTATTTAATGACCTAACCCAGAATGGAAGATATGCATATTATTTTCAATGTATGCCAATTTGAAATATTTCCAATTAATTTAACAGATATTTTGAATTTTACTGAGCACACCAACACGGAAAATTCACTCTTACTAAAGCATATCTTTCGGCTGGACAGGGATTCTTCTTGTGAAATTGTGAATTTAATTTTTCATAGCATACTTATATGCGGAATTATTTAAATTTATTTATTTTCCAGAACACTTAATAGTATGCAATCTTTTAAAATCCTAGTGCTCTGGTAACTTACCAGTTTTGTGTGTAAGCAGCTGTCAAATGTTTTGTCAGAGAAGTCTGGCGAAGCCTCATACCAGTGGATGCCAGAGTTTATTCGGTAATGTGTGTTAACCCGACTATAGTCAAATACTCACTGTGAATTTAAAACCATTTACCATAAAATTTAAAAGTGCTCAAAGCTTCTATCTATTACTTTCTTTAATTCTATAATTGTCGTTTCGATATCAAAATACTTTAAAGTTTACATGTCTCAAGGAAATGTTGATATGACCATGTTGCTAGCGCTGTTAGCAACATGTTGCTAAGCGCGTTGAGTGAAGAACCGCACTTGAAAAATTAATGAGAGGCACTTGAAGCGCTAATCACATGTAAGTGAAGTACAATCAACCAGGTTTACCCTCCAGGACATACACACACACACACACACACACACACACAGATGCATACAAATGTTACTCAAGGGGCTGGGAATTTGCGCTGTGTTGGTTCTAAATGAATTGGGAGGCGGAACGAGGGGCAGGAACATGCTTATTGTTGGGGCGTGTTTTGCAGCTTGAATAAGGACAAACTGTTGAGGGTTGCATTTGCAGGATTGCATTGTTGAATTTTTATTGTATAACTCTCATCGTTTACTATACAATCGAAACTTAAGCATAAACACACAATTCAATACAATTAGTTTGGTTTCTTCTACAATTTACACAGGCTTATCAACTATAACTTATATGAGTATATGCCTCGGTCGGTCGAATCGATCGTAAACTATATCACAAGGCCTTGGCCAAAAGCATACATACATACATACATACATTCATACAAACATACATACATACATACATCAAACTTAGCATACTAATTTTTCACCTATCGTTCCCTTTGCAGTTCGATAAACCCGCTCGCTTCTTAAATACTAATCCACAACTCGAGCTATTCATGCCTCAAAGTTCTTGGCCTGCAGACTCTTGAGGATGCCCAGCAGTTGCAGTGATTCCAGTGGTTCAAAGTCATCGGCATAGCGCACGGCTGATGTCTTGGTCAAGTCGCGTTCCCTGGGCATGTCCAGCGTCAAGGGCAATTGTTCCGCCATCACCGAATGATGTGTGATTAGTGCCTTAAGCGTGCTAAACTGCTTCTTGGCACCCTTGAGGCTAAACATCTCGTTGCGGCTGCACTGCACTGCATACGATTTTACCTTGTGTTCCTGCCGCAGGCATAGTTCAAAGGTGCGTGGCGTGCTGCGACGCAACAGAAAGCTGCCGGGAGTCGCCTGCTGCAGATGCTCCTGCGCCGCCTTAGCAGTGATGCGTGGCTGATACCAGGCACAGTGCAACAGCTCCGGTTCCTCATCCTCATCGTCGGTGTTGATGCTGTAGCGTTGCTTTGTCGCTCGTTTCTTGGACGTACTGCGTCGCTTGGCGCTGCTGTTGCTGCTCTCGTTCAGCAGCTGGCAGCAGTCGGAGATGCCCGCATCCGAATCCTCCTCGTTCTGGTCGGGTAGCGCCTCCTCGCTGCAGCTGGAGTCACTATGCTGACTGCTCTGCCAGCAGTTCAGCGACAGCAGCGACTTTTGTGGCGACTTGTTGCTGGGAGCACGTTTGGGCGTGGCACTGCTGGAGCTGCAGCTGCAGTCCGCCAAGAGATCCTCCTCATCTTCCTCCGCGTCCGCATGATACGAGGAGTCCAGCAGATCTTGCTGTAATGGATTAATTGGTTTAAACTGGTTTTAATTTTGATTTATTGAATAATACTTTATTTAAGAATATTTATTTATTTTTAGTTAATAAATTGATGTTTTTTTACCGAAATTCTTAAACTTTTTTTTGTTATATTTTGAGACAACTTTTTCCTAGTCGCCTTGACTCTTGGTTTTAGTTTACTCACCTCATCATAGTCGCTGGTTGGCTCCTCGCATTGCAAGCGCTCCTTGTGCGAGGGTTGAGCGAACAGTTTCCGCTGCAGAAAACTCTTCATGCTGTCGTAGACTTTGTGTGTGCGACTCTGAGCGGGTTCATCAGCTGTTATTGCAGCTGCTGTCGTTGGTGGCTGCAACTTCAGCTTGCTGCTCCATTGTTGGCACTTACTGAAGGCCAAGTCAAGATTTGTGCCAGCATTCGAGCCTTTGTAATCGCCATATATATCCGAATAAGTCGGACAGTGGATGGCATTACGTAACTGTGCAGAAAAGAATAGAAGAAATGAAGCACTATGATTAGTTTTGGTCAAGTCGGTAAATTTGTCAAGCATTGTCTCAGTTAGCCACAATATGCTCTCCCTCTCGCTAGGACTTCTATATTCTGATACCTGTTAAAACAAAACCACTCTCCTATTTCATACGAAATGCGCTCGCTTATGTAAGAGCTCGAGACAAAAGGATCCCTTTTATACTGTTGGCCTGATAACACACACACATACACACACACACACACATACACACACACAATGCGCAGTTTTATTTCACAGTCAGTCGCATTGTGCTCTCGTTTTCTCTATTGTTGCCGACTGCTAAGTGTGCTAATGCCTTTGGGTCAGCGCTGCTGCTGCTGCTGCTGCTGTGATATCCCTGCTGTTATATCCGTGCTGTGATATCCTTGTAATGCGCTTGTTTCAGTTGTTCATTGTTATGTAATTTGCCTGTGTATTATTTGCTTTTCATTCGCCTGATAAAATATGCATACGTGATATCCCCTTAGGGCAGGTTCTTCATCTTGCCCTGCTTTTGTGTCATCTGGTCATTATCAAAATTGATTATTATTTGTTTTTACTTAAGTGCGCTTCTGCCTTAAAGGAATTTCAACAAGCAGTGCAATCAACTCATTTGACGAATCCTAAAGATTACTCCATATTGCAACACCCCACACACACTCCAACACCAACACACGCACACACCCCTTTTTTGGCACTTGGCGAACAATGCGAAATCATTCACCTATGCCAGAGTATTCAATATATGCTCAAAAAGTGCGTTCGAGTGTGCACAGCACTCAACGAGAGCATACAATGACACTTCAGCACGCACACACACATGCACACACACATGCACACACACACACACACTTACACATGCTCATATGAGTGGTAAAATAATGAGCATTCAATAGCATTGAACTGGGCAGGACAATAGCAAACCAGGTAGCTAAGAAGCATAGAAAAAAAAACCAAATGCGTTAAGCTAAATTGAATTTGATTGAATTCAACGTGGAATGAAAGGAATGAATGAAAGGCCTGGCTATAAGCGGGCATTTCTGATATACGATCATAAATATATACGCTTTTCTTCTAGCTTCCTGCTGGCAGTTTTCCAAGTTTCCAGTTTTCGTATAGGAAGTGAATTGCCACTACTAATTGCCAGCGTTTCCTGCCTTGCATCAATTTGCATGCTACAATTGAATTTCAGTTCGTGTATGTGTTGGGTGTTGAATGAAATTGAATCGGCCAGCGAGTTTGGGGGCCATTAATTGAAAGCCAAACAAGCGGTGGCCAACAACTGTTTGATGTCTTGGCCACGCACAGCACATAAATAAATCTGTTGAAAGCTGGCTGCCAAGTAAGCGGTGTGTAAGAAGCGTTAAAGTCTTGCCTTTTATCGGCTTAAATCAAACACAATACTCAATGGAAATGCATGGAAAACAGGCGTTTAATGCCTCTAACAAAAAAAAAAAATTAGAAAAAAAAAAACGAAAGAAAAACCAGAAAGAGAAAAAAAACTGAAATACATGATTTTTAATTTATGCAAGACAAGCAACAAAAAAAAAAATAATAAAAATTGATAATAGAGCAGAATAACAAGAACGCGGAGCCAGCATACAGTAGTGGCCAAAAGGTGTTTGGGCCCTTTTATTTTTTGTATTTCATAGTGTGCGTGCTAATGCAATAATGATGGGTTTGGATTGAGAAGCGTCTTAGATGATCCTGGCCTGCGGAAAGGTAACTCTAATTGATGATGAAGCAACGGGCCATTATTGTTGTTTGGGCCAGCGAGGTGTTAGCATATTTTCGTAATCAAATTGTATTACAATAAAACCGAAATTCAGGTAACAGAACCTTGATCTACCAGCTGACAACAACAATAACAACAAAAGGAGCCAAGCTACCCCGGGGCACCTTTTCTTCTCATGTGTACTGCTCTCCGACAAAAAAGAAAAGCAGTTGTTAGTTTTCCATTTATTGTGCATTTAGAGATGGAGCGTGGTGAGGGTTAGAAATTAGTTGAAGTGGACACGGCATGAGTTGATGAATTTATTGAAATGTTCAAAATGTTGCCTTTTGTGTACATTGAAGGTTCCTTCGAGAAACCCACTTGAAACCCGGCATATGCACAAATTTTCATGCTGGAAAATCAAACAGCTGCTGAAGTGGCTCAGTTTAGAACGCTTATAAAAACCAACCCCGATCTAAGCCAAAGCAATCCACACGCAATGCCAATCAGCGATTATTGCAAGAAAACCGCAAAACCAAACGGAACGAAAAGTAATCCATAAGTAAAACATATACACATATATATCTGTATCTGTATCGGTATCTGTGGTATGTCAGCTATGTACAGATACAGCTGTAAATTAGTAATATGCTACAAAACTTGGCTATTAGAATATTTGAATGGCATTTGGTTGCGCTTCGCTTTGAGCTAATTTGACAGTTTTATGCCACACCGAAAAGTTCAACACACACATAATACTAACACACACACACAGATACAGATACACACACACTGACAAAGATACACACGTGTCTGGGGGCTTTCAAAATGTCAGATAGATAGAACTGCGACTTGTTTATGACATTTTGGAACACGCGTCTATCAGCCCCGCTGTGCATTTGAAAATTTATGAACTCAGTTCTTCGGGGCTACTACTTAGTATATGTATATATATATATGTATGTATATTTATATATGTATATAAATATGTGTATGTGTGCCCTAAATATCATAAAATGATTTTAACATGTTTTTTTTCCTCGACTAATTTCGTTTTATGCTTTGAGGTAAAAATGTAAAATGTTTATAGTTTATAGTTTCTGGTTGGGTTAGCTTTTTGATATCTTGTGCTGCAATTAGCGTCGCATTCGCTGGAAAATCCTTTGTTTGGACACATGTGGCATGTGGCATTGTGTGTTCTTTATAGTTGGTTTTTTAACGCCGTTCAACACGTTATTTTGTTGGCTTTTTTTTCTTCTTGTTTTTATAGGTGTAAAAATGGGGTCATATCAAACGCTTTGGAATTGAGCCGTTTCATTCGTTGTTGGCTCTGTTATGGGAATTTAAAAACTGACATTTTGATGAGTTTATTAAATGCAAATTAAAATTGTTGAAATTTTAATTGTATTTTATGGGCATTTCTTATGTGGGCAGCAGGCATGGCATGGGAATAAAAATATATTCATGCATTTATGCTTGAAGAGATGATTCTTTGTTCGTACTCAAGTGGCAGATGTAGATATGTAAATGGTGCATTGAACTTGGGAAACTGTTGTGGAATCAACAACTTTTCTAGAGTAAGCAGTTAAAAAAAGTGTCTGAAAATATTTGTTTGTAAAAAGTTAGTTCTAGATTTGGAGTTAAGTAACTTTGTGCAGTTCAACTAGAAGTTGTTTAGCATTTAAGAAAATAAATAAAAAAAAAACTGTGTCTAGCCACTTTTGTTTTGTGGCCAATATGTTGTTTTCCTTTTCTCTAATGCACACAAATCCTTGTGGAAGCCATATATGAAACTCAAACAGCTCAACGGACGCGGCTCAGCCGCATGACGAGCTGATGATAACGATGATGTTGTCTGTTGTTGTCGTTGCAACTTGTTGTTGCTGTTGTTGCAAGTCTGACGTTGATAGCCAGACGAAAGTGAAGTAAAGCACAGCCCCCATCTAAACTATTTGTTGATTAGGAGCGGTGGCTTATTGCCGTTGAAAGCTTTTTTGCATATTTGCATTACATTTTTCTGGCGTGGCATGTGGCAATCACAACAACAACTAAAAGAGTGGGACAGCAAGAAAAAAAATAAAAGCGAAAATTTATATTGAGTCGAGCGTAAAAATAACAATGCAGACGGGCAGACGGCATGAAAATAAGTGAAATTGTTGTTTACTCAAAACGACGGGGCAGTCGCCAGTGAAGCAGTCAAAAGAGTAGTAGGAAGAGGAGGGGGGCAGTGTGGGGCAGACAGTAGGGGTAGGCCGGTGCAATATGGTGCATAAATAACAACAATGCATGCAATGCGCCGCCGCCAATGTGGCCGTCGCCAGCCATTTAATTATGCTCATCAATTTGCAGTTGCTGCTTCTGTTGCAGTTGGAGATGCCGTTGCCTTTGCCGTTGCCGTTGCCGTTGCAGTTGCATTTGCCCATAAATCTTAACGAGGCCTGCACTTCAGATCACATTGCTTTTGGTTTTATGATAATTTTCAAATTAAATGCACTTAAAAGCGCCGCAATTAATTTTAACTTTCCAAGCAGGCCTACTTAGAAAATCAAAATCCAAAAATTGTTGTACATAACTAGACATGTGTTTGTAGGCGAGCATGTTGAAAATTATTTATAAACCATATGTTTCCACATTAATCACTGCCCTTGAAAGACAGCAGCTAAGTATGCGAGTGCATTAAAATGCCTTTGAATTTAAATGCTCAGCTCATTGCTGCTAATCGTTGCACGAAGATATCTTCCAATGTTAAATTTAGAATAGAGCTCATCGAAAATTATGAGCACTGATGGCAGCCACTTAGGGCGAGTGTCGAAGCGTCTCCTTCAGACTACACATGAACGAGCAAAAAACAAGTTAGAATTATCTAGTCGAGAGAACTCGACTAGGAAATACCCCGAAGGCTTGCTGGAGGTTGTGTTTCCTCTTCGATCTCAGTGAAATTTTTAAAGTTGATGAATAATGTCATGTCAGGGTATATTATATACCAAATCGAGGGCTACTTTTTAATAATGTGTTTTTGTTGCTATAGTATGTCGATTTGTATCGATTAAATGAAATATGGTAAGGTCTCTTTAGTCTCTTAGATCGGCTTCTTCATACAGAGGAATTCACGAGCATGGCTAAATCGACACAGCTTTTGATGCTGATCAAAAATAAATGTATACTTTTTGAGGTCGGAAATGGGTCCTTCTGCCTGTTATACACTTTTGCTCAATTTCATTACGCCCTCTTTCCCATTTTTAATAGATTCAGTGTATACAGAAAATGAAACTGCATTACTTCCACTTAAAGTCAGAGCTCTTTGTCGTCTTTTGCGCTTTTTTTTCTCCTGTTTCGCTAACAAATGAAATTTTCTTTGGCCGAGATGATGAGGGAGAAAACGAGAAAAAGTGTTTATCTTTACTTAATTGTTTTAGATTTGAATCTGGCAATATGTTCGCAGGCGACATACATGTATGTTTGAGTTTTGGGTTCTCAGTTTGCTAACATTTTTGTATGACAACTTTATTACTTTTGTGTTTTATATGCATGTGTACAAGTGTGTATGTGTGTGTGTGTGTGTGTGTGTGTGTGTGCACTTTGTCTGCAATCTCTGTTGCCTTATCGTTTGACCCGCGATGCGCGTCGCCTTTTTTTCGCTTCAAGTGAAACTCGAACTAATTGAAAACCGTTTGTCAGCGACTGTAAACACAAATGCTCGCCGTCTCCGTCTGTCTCTCTATCTGTCTGTCAGCCTGTCTGTCCGTCTGCCTGCCTTTGACGTCGTGTTGCCAATAAATATTTTGTGTCTAGCATTTTTCGGGTCCGCTCGCTGATAACGGATGCAATGGCGACGACGGCATCGTCGTTGGCGGCATGGGGAAATCATGTCTTGAGGTGACGAACGATTTATGCCGAATAGGCGTGCCTATAAACGAAATAGCGGTTTTGTGCTTTTTGAAAAGATCTAAGGGATTTTCGTAATACGCTTAGGCGCTACAAGGGGGCTAGAAATAGACCCCCATTAGGTATTCAGTAGATGAAAAGGTATTAACTTGATTGTGGTATGTCTATGCAAGAGAGCAAGAATAGAGTAAAATTGCTGAAGATTTACAAACAAATTTTGAAACGTTTTTTATGCATTCGAGTAACAAATTTGTCAAATAAATAAGAACTCAGTCCAAAGAGTATATGTGCTTAAGTTTTAAATATCTTTTCAAAATACGATAACCAAAAAGAGTTGTCTCTAAGAAAGTAAGAAATTACTTCAAAACTCTGCAAAAAGTAAACGGAAATTCGTTGCCCTTATCTATAGTTTCCTTAGAATGTGTTATATTTATTGTTGTCGCGCAACAATCAAGCTGATCTGTTATATTGAAAAACTACTTGTCAAAGGGCTTCCAGTAAACTGAATTCCCGCAGTGCAAGTACGAAAAGCAGACACACCCAGAAACAGCAGCAGCAGAAGCAGCAGCAGCAGCAGCAAAACAATCCTTTTGGGAGGAGTTTCAAATGACACCTACTACAAAAATATTTTCATAGATCAAAAGAGAAAAAAAGAATAAAATTAAATGCGAGCCCACAACCACGCTGGCGAAAACAATGAGCATGAGATAAAGTGCCGTGACCAGGGACGGGTGTCAATTCCCGTGAAAAATGACAAGAGCAACAACAATAAATATGATGATGATGATGGAAATGTTGTTGATAAATGCACAGCATAGCGAAGAGGTGAGTGAGAGATAAAAGTACAAGATGGCAGAAGCCAAAACACAAACTGTCATTCAGTTTGAAATTACAAACTTCTTTTTATTTGTTTTGTCAAAGTCAAGCTGGAGATTAGAGAGTGTGTATAGGATTTGGTCAGCTACTTGCAGAGATTTAAGCTGGGAATTCAGGTAGCTGCGCGGGGCTTAATTAAGGCATTTGACTAATCAGCTTTGGCATCGTTTTTGTTGACGTAGGCGAGCCCATTTTATGGCTTGGCTCCAACAAACAACGGCACCCAGACGTCGCCATTTGGCTGATAATGGCTAGTTAGTGCTTATCGCAGATCAAACACCAACAAACAAACACCATATACAAATTACATATGTATATAAATATGCTCGAATGCATTTAGTCCAATCAATCACTATCTTTATGAGCCGCAACATATGTTTCTCTCTCTATCGATAGATGGGAAAGACTCGACGCATTTTCGCTGCGATATTTACGATTTGTCAAAATCTCTGCATTTCAGTTGCAGTTTGTGTGATTCCCTTGATTATGGCTTTGTTTGTTGGCTTAACGCTCTAGCCGGAGTTCAGTTTGATTTAGTTTTTATGCAAATCATATTTATTTGATTATATGTGATTTACTGTTGCGTCTGATTTACGCCGACAGTCGAGTTTATTATGTTTTGTTGTTGTTTTTGTTGCCTCTCCTATCTGTGACACTAAATCATTTTAATTGTTGTCGTTCGTGTTTTCTGAATTCTCGCTGCAGTCGCCCCAATCTGCCCCACCCCCCTTCCAGTTCCCCAACCTTAACCCTCCATGTGTTTTCATTTGAAATGTGAGGCTTTAAGTTTTGGGTGCGTGTTGTTTTTCGGTACGTGGGATTTGTGGCGATTACCGATGTGTGTCTGTGTGTGTTGTGGGTGGAATTTGTGATGTCTATTAACTCTGCACATGTCAAAAGAATATGAAGCGGGGACCAATTGTTATCTATACAAAAAGGTGTGCAAGTGTGTGAATATTTTGGGAAGCTCACTAGCCGATGGGAAATGGTGAAAAATATTGCAAGAGTTTGGGATTTTTAATTGATTTTGATTGTATATTGATGATGTTAATGTAAATTGTAAGATTTATATCAATAATATGTTTATTTCTTTATTTATTGTCTGTTGTTGTGGATGATCTTAAGCTGATTAAAGTCAAGTATCATATATCAGACATAATGGGACAATGATTGAATACTCTTCTTACACCAACAGATATTTAGGTATATATTCAATTATTATTATTAATATCCCAAAGCGTTTACCTATATCTACATTTTTTAACTTCATAATTATCTATAGAAAATATTTGTATTCCACTACAATAATCTCTTAAGAGCTCTACTCACATTTCATTTCAATCCTAACTCATATACCCATATTACACTTACCATCTTGGTCTTTTCGTGAGTATTTTCCTGCGTATCCTTTTTGCGTTTATTAACACTTTCCATGGCGCCAAAGCGATTGTATTGAAACAGACGACCCATTTTTCACGCTTCTTCTCTGTTTACAATTTCAATAAACAAAGTTGTTGAGTTCGTTGTTGTAGCTGCTGTTCTTGTGTTTTTCACAATATCGCGTCACTCGCACACAATATGCAAAAGTTTTTTGAGAGAAACACACGCCTGCTCGTTTTATCGTCAAACTTATTGCGTTCTTTCAAGTGTTCAATAACAACGAGACGAGTCGATGCGAGTCGGGTTGAATTGGAAATATTTGAAATTGAATGCCGGAATACCGGGAGCGTACTGGCTAGCTAGCGATCAGCGCGACGTGCGCAGAGGGAATGATGGGCCACAACTGAATGCATTCGAAGAAATACAACGGAAAATGAGCACGACTGAGAGAGCGCGCGACAGCAGCAGAGGCCGAGGCACGGACAGAGGCACAGGCAGAGGCACAGGCAGAGGCAGAGGCAGCGTCAAAGCAACAGCCAGCAATACCAAACAGCAAAAGCAACAACAGCAACAGCAAATACTCAGCTAGAAGGGAGGCAAAGCAGCAACAGCGGCAGAGATACAAATTTCATGTAAGGGCAACGGGCAACGGCGACGTCAATGCTCAACCGGCGTTGTTCATGCAACGCTGACGCTGACGCTGTTGCTGCCACAGCATTTACCGCTAGCTCACTTTGAGAGTATATCTGTGTGTGTGTGTGTGTGTGTTGTGCTCAAAACAGGAACAGCTAGAACTAAAGAAACACTCACACACACACACACACACACAAAGAACTCAAACGACGGGGCTGAAAAATAGGAAAGGAAAAACCACTCAACAAAAAGCGAAATGAGAAAAATTTTACTACGACGGTACATACTACACTTTAAAAAAAAAAAGTCGGAATAAAAAAAATCCAAAGTGAACTGACAAACTTCTGTTTTGGGCAGGCGAGAAATGAAATGAAATGAGAACTCGAGTGCTGCAAAAAGTCGGACTCCGATTCTGAATCTGATTCTGACTCCGAGTAACTGACGTACTGAAGGGTAGTTGCGAGCAGCCACGTCAACAAGTTGAGTGGGTGGTAGCTTCGGGAGAGGGGTGAGGAGGGAAGGGGAGTGGGTAGTTGTGGCTGTGGGTGTTATTCACTGACACTGCAAGTCGTCGCTTCGGCGGCTCATTCAACTTGGAATAGTGCGCATTTGTTGGAGTCGTCCGCGTTTCGCATTCGTTTGACCAAAAGCAGAGGCTGCACTGACTTTTCATTTTCAGCTGCAAGAGTTGCGACTATTGACGTCTGTTTACATGTCGCCAGCTGTCTCGCTCTTCATCATTATATCTATCTCTATCTCAATTGCTATCGCTGTTGCTTTCTGGCTCTGTGTGTGCTCCACTTTTTGAGCTTATTCATTTGCCTGCTGCACGTTTCATTTGCTCCTTTGCCTATTTGCTTAACGTACTCGCTTGTTGTTGTTGCTGTGCTACTTGTTGGTACCCCCTCTCTAACACCCCCTCCTCCCATATGCATCTCATCGTATTTCCTCTGCCGCCCACATGGAAACGCTGTATCATCGTATCTCCTTTTTTCCGTACTTCTTTTCGGAAACTTTTCTTTTATTTTTGTTATTTTTGTTTTTGTGCCAGAGCATAAAATAAACACAAAAACTTTGCAGCCTCATTCAGGAGAGACACTGCTTTTTGGAACCCATTCCCCACCCCCTGTCAACGTCAGCATTTCATTTGTTAGTGCATCCTCCCCGTCCATCCCCGCCTGTGTAGATGTGTCCGTAATTATCGTTATCCTTTGCTGCTCGTTTTGCGCTTTTCATTTCGCTGTTTATGCGGCCAACTATGCCACTTTAATTGAAGTCAATTTTTTCTGAGGCTGCTTGCGGCGAGTGCCGCCAGCTTCAGCATCGGAAAAAGCTATTTTTCCACATTTTGTTGCAAGTCCTGTGCGGCATTTTCATTGAAAATTATTTCTGCAACTTATTAGCACCTCCGGAAATTATGAGTTTCGGTTTGGCATTCAAAGTTCTTGTGGCATATTTACGAGCTCGCTGCTTTTTTAATTGAGTTGGCGATTCGGCGTAAGGCTGAGGCTGAGGTTCCCCCTAGAATGAGGGGGGTTTTAGCTGTGGGTTGGCTTGCGGTTCACCATTTCTTGCTTTTGTTGCTTAATTAGTTCAACGAAACGGTTAAGGACATGGGCAGCTCTTCACGATGCTGCTGGCAAAGAGAGAGAGAGAGAGAGAGAGGGAGAGATGGGAAACTCAAACTTTGTGGTTTGATGTTGCAACAGGATGTCCTTAATTGAAACAGTTTGGATTTGCTGTGGATTAAAACAAAGATACTATGCTATCAAAATTTGTACAGTCATAACTTTGCCAAAACTGAACCGATTTTCAGAAATAATTCTGAACAATACTCAAAGTAGAAAACGTAATATATTTATATTTTACTGATACGTTTATAAAAGTTATTAAGTCCGAGTTGACCTTTTTATTTTGCACCGCTTTCAGTTAGTTCTAGCAGATGTTGCAATAAAAAATCACTTTAAGCACATAATACGCAGGCCCTATTCCATAATACCCTAAACTAACTGAGCTTATTATTAATCCATTACTTTGTTGCAGTTCAGCTGTTGCCAGCAGAACGGAACAAAAAATAAAAACACAAATTGGGGTGAGTGATTTTATAAACCCAAAATATTATTGCTTATGTTTTGCACCCTCAATCGTTTTTTTTTATGGTCGCAACGCCCACTGCCACAAAAGTTGCTTGGCAAGGGCCAAACAAAGGGAAATAATCAATGCTAACACGCATTTAACGAAATATGCTACCAAATCGGAGCGCAAAACCTCTGCTTATAATTAGATTATGAAATTAATAAGTCGCTTTAACAAATGCTCAAATTTATCACCCTCCCAAAAACCCAAGCCGATTTTTGTTTTTTTTTTTTTTTTTTTTTTGGCAATATTTGACAGTTGCGAAAATTGAATTTTTGTGCAGCGTTTAATATATTGCAGCTATCAATGGGAAAGCATTTTCACGACACTCAAGTGCCACTCATAAATCAAGTAGCAACCCCTTACAGCTAAACTGCAGACAAAGCAGCTCAACTAAAAAGAGTACTTGGATGTACTTACCTCATATGGCAAATTCAATTTCATTACATAAAAAGCTTTTCATTTTCTATTGCCTTTGCCTTTGCCCTTGCCTTTTTGTGCTTTGTCTACTTTTGCGTTGATTTGTCAAATTGTTTGCCAGACAACTGCATAAATTCCAAATACATTTTGATTCTCAATCTTTCGATTTTTGGTGCAGCTGGCCAAAAACGCCCACGCACAACTAAAGTGCTCTTAATGTTTGTCAATTATTTGCAGTAATTTGCAATATTTCTAAACGCTTTCTGCAGGGATTTTCATCCCTAAATTGTTTTTAATGGCTCTTTGCACTTACATGACTGTTGACTGCAGAAATACTCAGCATCAGCATCAGTTTCAGTTCCCAGTGTTCAGTTCTTAGTTCTCCATTTGCCGACGTCCCCTCTCATTGCTTTTAATGGCTTCATCATCAGTTCTTAGCAATAAATAAATAAATGGCCTACAAGCACACATCAACGTGTTGTGGTTTATTTAATTTATGGCCGAAAATAAATGTTATTTATTTGCCCTTTAAAAATCGACACAACTAAACAAATACGACTTAAGTCAGCTTATAGCTTGTAACCCGAGAACTTTTGGGGGGCGACATTTTAGTTTGAAATCGATTTCCCATTGTGGAAACTCATTAGGCACCTCGCTGGGGGTGCTTCAAGTGTTAAAAATGTAGTTAAGGCTGTGCTCCAACAACAATTTGTCTAATGAAATCGCATAAAACTAGCCACAGGCAGCGCACATAACTCACAGACCACTAAAAAGAATACTCCGAGTCCAAATCCAAATCCAAATCCAAAAACTCAACTCATTTCTCAGTTCTCATTCATTCATGGAGAATAACCCGCGGTGTCTTTTTGTGTGGCGTTTTTATTTATCAAAGCCCAATTCCCTTTTTTTTTATCTCAAGTGACTCCAGCAATTATGTTTATAAATGATTTGTTAGGGTGGTCTTCTGCTGATCGTGGTTCGTTCTCGTAAAGTGTTTCGCATTGTTCGATAATCCTTCATTTCAATGGCAATAAATAGCTAAAGAATTATGTGTGAACCCATTAAAAATTGTACTTGAATTTCTGTCAAACACTTTGGGGCATAGTTTTTTATAATGTTTATGTATGTGTCCATATATATGCAGCCATTCATATTATGGAGTCATTGTACAGCCGGGAGCGACATTGGCTTTTCATTTGGTATTTTAGTTTATGGCTGGCGGCGAGTTCAACAGATTTTTAATTGCAGCGGTTCGCTTCGTTTATGTTTTCCAATGTTTTCTGTTTTCATACACTGTAACTACTTACAGTGTACAGAGGGGTATGATAAAGTTAAGCTAATGTATGTAACAGGTAGAAGGAAGCATCTCAATATCCATAAGGTGTAAACATGTCTGATCAAGATCAATAGCCGGGTCGATCTCATCATATCTGTCCGTCTATATAAGCTAGTAGAGCTGAAGACTTCCAAAAAGTACAGAAGGTACTTATCGAAAAGTATTTTAATATTGAGGAAACTACTCTCAGAGAGCTGAGGGTATCTTCTAGTCGAGCTCTTGCGAATAGAGAATACTTACTTGTTTATTTTTTATGTGTTGGTGCCCTTAAGCACCGCCTTGTTCCATAAATCATTTTGGATACTACAGTTATGCCCATATGGGCGTGCATATTTTAAACAATTTTCATCGTTTTGCTTTGATTTATTTCATTTCTTTTTCATGTTTTTCCAAAAAGTTATTGGTTTTTTAAACATATTCCAAAAGAGGGCTTTTAAATAGTTCAATGTACTTATCGTTTGTGGCATTAACTTGTCTGTTCATAATTCTGTTTGACTTGCCACCACAAATTCCATCATGTTGAAGACTTTCGATCATTTCCCTTCAGACATTTTCACTATCTATAAGTCATTTATCAACAGGCAGGCGACAGCGACTTAGGCAACCTTCATAACAAACTTTAGTTAAAGCAATAATATTTTTTCGACATTTTCCCATCAACTTGTTTAGTGTGTGTTTTTTGTGGGTTCGCCCCATTTCTGGAGCTTCAGTTGCATTTGAATTTCTCACACGTTGCGTTACATATCAAATAGTTAAGTTCCCCGCCCGAACAGTTTCTTGTTTTCGATAACGCCCCTATTAACAAGAACATTTGATTCGAACTGAACAACAACAGAAATAAAAACGATTTTCCAGCAGCACAAACAAACAATTAT